CGCTGAAGCCCTGGAGCTCGAATGTTTACCGAGAAGTTGCTAAACTTCATCATAATTAATGACCAACTGCTATCAGTTGTAGAAAACAATGGATTTCTCAGTTTGGTACTTGCAGCCAAGATATAGTTTACCCTCCAGGAGATATTTATCAGTACAACAGTAGACAATCATAAAAAAACATATGATTTGAAAAATACAAGAAAATTATATATATATATAAATAAAAAAAGAAACAAAAACAGCTACATTATAAATCAGTGTAAAATACTAAAAACAGGAACATGTCAGTGTTGGTTTATGCCATGAACTTAGCAGATGTTTGAAGCCATCTAATATTTTATTTAATTAATTTATTCATTCAAAGAAACAAAATAAACAAAACAAAATCATCAAAAAGAAAACGTTGAATGAAAAGAGTCCAGAAAGAAGAAAAAAATTCTTATATCTGCCTCTTATTTAAAAAAATAAAAATAAAATAACTAAACAACTTAAATTAATCACTTTAATATCCACTTTAAAGTAGGAATTTAAAAAAAAGTTTTGCGTTAGAATTTAATTCTAACTTTGAAACTTATCCAACATTAATAAAACTTAACTCAAGTTGCCTTTTTTAAACATGCATGCATATATTTGTACAAATTGTACTTGAGAGGAGATTATTACAGCCTCGTGTAAAATCAATAACGATGATGACATCGGAACTGGATCGGTATCGGATGATATTCAGATTTAGGTATCGGGATCGGAAGTAAAAACGTGGATCGGTGCATCCCTAGTAATTTCTGCTATTTTCAGCCTTATGCTAATTTCAGCTTATGCTCCTTTCATTTTTTTTTTGCTAGTTTTAGCTTTTTCTGATATTTCAGCTACTATTTAGCTGTTTTTATGCTAATTTTAGCTTTTTTTTCCCCAGATAATTTCCACTTTTTGTGCTCGTTTCTGCTTCTTTAACCCTAATTGGGCAAACATGTTCTTTCTGCTTTCTTCTGCTAATTTAGAATTATTCTACCATTTCAGCTACATTTCAGCATTTTTTTTTTAGCTAATTTCAGCTGTTTCTCTGCAAGTTCTTCTGCTATAAGCATTCCTCTAGTTTGTGTTAAACTTCCTGTTTGCAGAGTGCTGCCCTGTCGTTAAGGAGCTGTTGTAAGCAAACTGTAAATTCATTAGAGGGCTGCCTGCATCTAATTGATGCGAGGCTTCCCTTCCTTGTGAGACACGTTGCGGCACGTGTTCTTAAACCATTTCACTTTGTGGCGCCGCAGCTGTGGAGGACTACCAGGAGGCGAGGGAGTTTGACGGCGACAGCAGCTCCATCAGAGAGGGGCTGGAGCGAGCGCAGAAGCTGCTCAAAATCTCCCGGAAAAGGGACTACTACAAGATCCTCGGCGTCGCCAGGTAACCGGTCCAGACGGGTTCGTTCTGTTCGACCTTTACGTCCTCCTGACTGAGCGTTTCGCTGCGACGCTTGTGTAAGACGCGACATCTTTCCCGCTCGTCCTCAGGAACGCCAACAAGCAGGAAATCATCAAGGCGTACAGGAAGCTGGCGCAGCAGTGGCACCCAGACAACTTCCAGTCGGAAGCCGATAAAAAGGAAGCGGAAAAGAAATTCATCGACATCGCGTCCGCTAAAGAGGTCCTCACCGACCCAGGTCAGGAACATTTTCACGATATTTTCTAGACTTAGCACTTCTCCAGACCTGAACAGAAACATCAGAGTAGAACGTTGAATATTAAAGGTTTGTGTGGCAAGCACAAACACGTTTAAATCAAATGTGGGCAACATGTGGCCAGAGGGCTGAAAGTGGCTCTTGGGACAATCTCCTTCTGGCCTTAGCAGAAAACAACTTTTTAAATAAGTTAATTAAAATTTACATTTTTATCAGTGAAATTTAAGGAAGTTCTAAACATCTTGGACAAAAACTTTGAAAAACATTTGGTTTAAGATTGACCAAAACCTTCTTCTTTTATTTTTTTAATCATGTTTCCAGAACTACCGTATTTTTCGCAACATAAGTCGCACATTTTTGCATAAATTTGCAAGTCATGCAACTAATATACCGTACTTTCCGCCGTACATGTCGCTCCGCCCTGTAAGTCGCATCAGTCCACATTTGTCTAATAAAGTGGAAAAATCCATAAATATGTAGTTTCGCCGTATACGTCGCATCTATTATGAGTCACCACAGACAACCTGGAAATGTGGGCAGGTGTTGAGGACTTTAATGAGAATTTAACAAGATTAACATTTAAAAACAATTATTTGTTTGTTTGAAATTATATTAATGGCGTGTCTCAGTCTAACGTTTACTTAATAAATGCACTTTAATGGTCAAATCAACTGCATTTCGCCGGGCTGGTGCAGCTGGTTTGACGGTTCCAAGCAGCGAGCAGAATGAAGGTGGGGATATTATGGCAAGCTGATTGAGTCATTAATAGCTGATGAAGATTCTCAGTCTTCCAGGACATGGTAAATTCAAAAAAGTTCAAGAAAAAAACAAAGTATAAAGTAAGGTATAATAAAGTCCAGTTGTTTTGTCTTGAACTTTTTTGAATTTGTCATTATAGCCATGTTTACCTATTACATGACACAATGGCATGCCTTACTGCTACTACTACTCTGCTGCCATCAAGTGGCTGAAAGTGGTACTGCTCAATTTTGTTTCAGTCCGAATGAATGAAAACGGTCGTATCTCAGCCAAAAAATGGTTTATAAACATGGGGAAAAAAATCCATAAATATGTCGCTTAGGCCTATAAGTCGCAGGGCATGTAAATTATGTAAAAAAGCTGCGACTTATACAGCGAAAAATACTGTAGATGGTTTTTTTTCCCCATATTAATAACCCAATTTTTGGCTGAGATCTGACAATTTCATACGTTGACATGAAAAATATGAAACATGACCATTTTCAGCCGCTAGAGGGCCCTCGACTAATATGGCAAGCCATGTGTCTCATTAATAGGTAAAAGTGGTTATTAATGAAACTCTTGGCTTGCCATACAAGACACCTGCGTCTCGCTCTGGAACTCCTGGAGCAAACGTCAAATCAGCTGCATTTCCACACACCAACCAGGTGAAATGCAGCTGATTTGACCGTCAAAGTACATTTATTAACGAAAAGTTAGACTGAGACACACCTTTACTATAATTTTGAGCAAACAAATAATTGTTTTTAAGTGTTAATCTCGCTATATTCTTGTTAAAGTCCTCCCGTGTACGATTCCGCGACCACCTTTTTGCAGCCAATTGATTTTTGGCACAACACTGGTCCACATTTCCGAGTGGTCAGTGGTGATGTGTAATAGATGCAACTTATTTATGGTTTTTTTCCAATTTATTTGACATTTTTGGACTGACGCGACTTATACGGCGGAAAATACGGTAAACTGAACCTTAAAGACTCCATGAAACAAACCTATAACTTTTTTTTCATATTTAAGCTAACGCATATATCGCCCGCCACAAGAGCCAGTTTACAGAAAGTGCCTTCTCTTCCTAAAGAGTGTTGGGGAGACGTATGCTAACTGTGTTACGGCAAGAAAACGTCTTCCAGATTACCTTAAAAAACATCTTTTTAATTCACTCTGCGGCCCTTTGTTTTAAATATCTCGATTTGGCCCTCTGGAAACCAGCTGTTGCCCACCCCCCTCCAGACGACCTCTGAAAACGAGAGTTAAAAAGATGTCTTGGTAGGGACAAACGTCTCACGTCCCTCTGACTGTTCCTCCACCAGAAATGAGGCAGAAGTTCGACGAAGGCGAAGATCCTCTGGACCCGGAGAACCAGCAGGGCGGCGGCGGAGGGCAGCGGGCGTGGCCGTTCCACTTCAACCCCTTCGAGTCCGGCGGAAACTTCCACTTCAAGTTCGAGTACAACTAAAGAGGGGGACTCAACGGGGGAGACGTCTTCTCCAGAACCTGGACTTCAACCTTTTAATTTAAAAACGGACTTCTCACCACAGAAACTGTGGTTTGAGCAGTGGTTGTGTTTTTCTTTTTCTTTGTGCCATTCTTAAAACCTGAACTTCTTTAACGCAGAAAGTTGAACATCAGCACTTTTTTTTTTAAATCCCTTTCCTGCTCGCAGTATTCTCCAGAGGAGAGAAAACGATGCGTATTTTTACCAACAGGTCCGTTCAGCCGAGCGTCACTCGGTCACATCAGACGTGTGAATGTAAACTTATTGAAATCCTGTGGATCTGAACGTCAAGCTATAACTGGTTTGGAGAGTCTCCAGTGAGGACTGTGTGTTCGGTTGGAAACGTCCAGTTAAAATACGCTTTTCTGGGTTAAAAAAAACAAAGCGCTTGATGTTTGAATCGAGTGTAATTTGATTCTTTTTGTTTTCCTGCTCTCTTCAAAATTTTTAAAAGTTGCCTTTTTTAATGAAACCCCCCCTCACAGCTTCTCCACTCCTGAAATGTTACTGTGGACTTTTATTTTTTTAGTCTTTAAACAGACCACGTGTGTCTTCTGTGGCTATCTGAGCCTGGTTTATAAATAGCATTCAGCTGACCCAGGAAGGGGTGGGGGGCACAGAACGGGTTGAACCGAGCAGAACTGTTCACCTGAAACTCAAGTACACACATAAAAAGAGAGGAGATTGGGGGAGTGTTGTGCACCATTTAGTGCAGTGGTTCCCCCCCAAAAAATGGTTCCCAACCCTGGTCCCTGAGGAACACCATCCTGCATGTTTTAGTTGTTTCCTTTCACACCTGGTTTGAATGATTTGGTGATTAACAGGCTTTGGCAGAACTTGAGAAAGTAATTAAATCACTGAATCTGGTGTGTTGAAGCGGGGAAACGGCTAAAACATGCAGGGTGGTGTTACTCAGGGACCAGGGTTCGGAACCACTGATTTTTAGTGCTTCTTCCACTCAGACACCGATTTAACGAAATATATAAGGAATAAACAAATGTTTAGCCTGGAATTGAACAGTGAAGAACATCTAAAGCTCCTACCTGAAAACCGTTGTCACAATTAGGAGGAATGTTGCAGAAATATGTTGGTTTTAAACCAAAATGGCCGCCTGCTACTGTTTAGGTCTGCACAAGATCTGAAACTCGTGGCGCCACAACCAAGATGTTCGTTTCACTCTGATAAAATCTCTTAACGAGATATTTCTTGTCTTAATTGTGCAGAGAGGTGCCGACAAATTCAGTCTGTTGATGGACGTCCAAACAAATTCAGACTAATATGAAAAAAACGTTTTTGGACTTGATCAACTTGATGCTCCACCATCTTTCCTTTCTACACGCCCGTCTAACGTAGTCGACATACGTCCGTAGACGTTCTCTTGTCCCGCCCAGAACTTATCCACTCAAGATAAACCAAACTTCACACGTGCATCACCAGACGGAGTGTCGCGTACACTTCTATCACTCCAGCTCTAAGGTCAAGATCATAATCAAGGTCAAAGGTTATTAAAGGTCTTTCACTGTCCAGGCCAGGGTTTTTCAACTAAATTGCTCAAGGGGCCACAGTTAACTAAAGCCAAGAGCTCGGGGGCCGTACATCCAACATTTATTCTCATTTAGTAAGTTTGTTTTATGATTTAAAATGTTTTATTTAAAAATGAACCCACTGATGGGCCGAACTGAGAACACCCATGGGCCTGATTTGGCCCCCGGACCACCAGTTGAATAACCCTGGTCCAGCCCAGGCCATGACTGTTTGTCGACAGGCGTATAATGTGCTGCATGCACTACTCTTGAAGCTTAAACGTGGCGCAGTGATGGTAATTAACGTTTATTTTAAGTTATGCAACACCCGGAGGAACGTATAACAATGACTTTGGTATTATTACCAGAATAAGTTCTGCTTCTTACGACGGTTCAGTGAACCTTTCATCGCTCCTACCCTGGGCTCAGCGTGCCCTTGACGTCCTCCATGACCCTGAACTATGACCTCCAGCAGGATGTAACACCCCACCCCCTCGGAGCTTCTTGAACACGACGTTTGGATAATATTTATCTGAAGTGTGGAACTGAAAGAAAAGCTGAACCTTTGTGAGCGAGGCTCAGATGTTGCAGCCATGGAAGACACGCATGGTTTTTGTTGTTTGCACAAACTTATTTTAAAATTAGCAGTTAAAGGCAGGACTGTAACTGGATCTTGTGTGAACCAAAATGTGACGGGCTCTTTGTATTTAAATCTTAAGAGATTTTGTTTAGTTTTTTTTCCTCTTGTGGCAAAGAAACTGTTGCCAAACTGACAGCTGATGCGCTCAAATGTATTAAAATACACAAACTGTTTGATCTAATGCCGCCTCTTTTACTGAGTTGTGTTCACTGACCTCTGGATTATTTAGTCTTAACTTGCTCCTCAAATGCAACACGGATGAGGACAAAACTCCAGAAACTAAACTTAACCCTCTGGTTCCTCCTGACGGTCTGTGGATATAACAAAATGGCAACAAAAGCCTCAAATAAAGACATTTATTTTAAAACGCTGTAATAAAGACGACACACACACGATGAGGTGATTTCCACTCCTGCTGCCAGTGTTCTCTTACAGTCACAGAGGGAAACGGTTAAATCCAGAATGGACACATGGGTTCTGTCTGTAGAGACCAAGTTAAAAATCTTCTGGACACATCCTGTCCTCAGAGTCCTGCTGTAGCCGGACATCAGGCTCGGCTGGGACACGGTCACATGAGCGCTGGTCAGTGGTTGGCTCCGAATCCCGGCGTGTCTTCTAGAGTGTCTGCTTCCACCTCGATGGACACCACATGGTGACCGGGGATCATGGCCAGGCCCAGGACTCTGGGTTCACCCTGGGAGAACGTGTCTGAGAAAACAAAACGGAGCAGCTCAGCTGATACATAAAGACCAGTGGTTGGTTTCTTTTAGGGCAGAGAAAAGGAAGATGTCGGTGTTGGGTCCTGTTCATGCAAAAGCTGTAATTTGCATTTATTTGTCCCACGTTACTTCAAGCAGTGTTTCCTCTACCGTTAATTATCCAAGAAGGGCGCCTCTGCCTGCCATGTGATGATCAGATACTAAAAGCCAACAGAGCCAGTCAGTAAGGCTACATGTACTATGAAAACAGTAGACGCAGGACATGGACTCAATGATATTAGAATCCTAGCATTAATACCTTGTCCACATAAAGAAATAAAAAATCTTTTATTTAGCAGATCAGTTCAAATTCCCTGTTTTCCCTGTCGGGTAAAATGTGAAAATCATTTCCCTTGATTTCCAGTGTCGTCCAGGACCCTGAACCATTTTCTCTTTCCACACCAGAGAAGCCAGAAAACGAAATTCACCTTCTCACTTTGAAGCCAACTTAAACCGACGTCAAATACGTGATAGATGCATTGAATGTGAAGTGCTGTAAGACTGCTGACATTTGCTGCAGTTGATTCTGAAATGTTAACTCTAAAACAAGCAGAACACCATCTTTCTAAAAGAGGCTGAATAAGAGCGTAGAATAATTAGGTAACAAAACCAGTGTGGACACTGTTTTTGAACTTTAGCTCTTACTCATTCAGACAACTCTTTAATTTTAGAGCAAACACTAAAGCCATATAAACCAGAAGATGAATCTATACAAACAGAAAGGCATATTTGACACACGAGACAAAGCACATCTAGCTTTATATAGTGTTAATATATTTATTACCATACCATTTTATTTATAGAGCACTTAAAACAGCTACAAGGCCAACCAAAGTGCTGTACAGACAGAACAACTGACAACACACGAAGCAAAATACAAAATTAAGTAAATCAAAAATATAGACACAAAAACAATGGAGATAATAAATATAAACCGAGAGGGAGGGGGCCTGTCTGACAAGCAGAGGTAACTCGTTCCAAAGTCTTGGTCCTGCTACAGTGAGGAGCCATTGGTCCGCTGACCTCAGGGCACGTGGTGGGACATACGGTTGTAGCAGATCAGAGAGATGGGGGAGGGCGAAACTGTTCAGTGATATGTAGACATACAGGAGTATTTTGAACTGGATTCGAAGGTGAACCGGTAACCAGTGCAGTGAGGCCAAAACTGTAGTAATGTGCTCTCTTTTGCCTGTACTGGTTAAAAATCGGGCTGCTGCATTCTGGACCAGTTGTAGTCGTGCAATGGAGGTCTGACTGATACCAAACAGGAGTGAATTGCAGTAATCAAGCCTAGATGTAATGAATGCATGTATTACTGTCTCCAGGTTCTTTTAGGACAATATGGGCTTTCGGTAGATTCATACATTACTATTAACTTATGGAAACATAAAAGTGAAAAAAAAAAAACACTTCATAAATGCTGTGGCAGGATTTTTACTCCTACCTGTAGATTTGAGGAACTCCTGAGCTGAGCCCAGGATGACGTTGCAGTCCCTGTCTGTGCAGAGGAAGAGACCCACAAGAGTCCGTCCGTCTGTCATCCGGATCCTCATGTTCTTGTTCAGGAGCCCCTCCAGTTTCTGCCTGGCCTGGGAGGAGGAAGAGGAGGTCATTTCACACTGGTCCTGAATGTGGACACAAAAGAGACCCATAATTATTCCACAAATTCATTCATAGAATCAGACCTAATTCTAATGGCGAGTTACTTCTCGTCATTCATTCATTCATTATGCTGAACATATGACTAAACATTCTTGTTGTCATACTTACACAAAGAAAATTTAATCATTAAATGCCTCAAGATAAAACTAAACCCCGTTTAGCTACAGAAAACACATCAAATGCACGAGCTAATTTGTTAGCCGACGGCTAACAGTTGAAGCTTTTCACAAAATCGGTTTAAAAAAAAAAAAACTTTTCTTTGCGTATTTATGAGGCGTAAACCAGCTCGAACAGCCGTGTGAATATATATATTAAAAATTGTTAAAACATACATGTGTCGAAGGACCATTTTCCTCGATCATTGTTGCCATAACACCTTCCCCTCTGCTGCTGTTGTTGCTCACGGAGCAGTTTTACTGACGGACAGACAAAACCGGAACTCAAACCGGAAATTGGTCTCAATACAATAAGGTTGGAAAAAAATCCTTTTATTTTTTTAATAAATCTTATAAAAACAATACTATTTGTTATGTTTAGATGATAAATGCCACAAAATCATGCAATTTAAATGACTTTTTTGCTAAAATAAATAAATAAATAAAGTTAATATTTTGTCTATAGGTGGTGCCATTAGACAGCCATCACAGAATAACAGTAAAATGGATTTCTCTTCAGTATGAACACGAACCTGCTTCTTTTTGCCTTTGGTTATACAATTTAGGGTATATTTATGTTGGTTGCAGGGTAAGAATGGTTAGTAGTCAAACACTGCAAAATGAATCAATTACAATATAGGTGTTGCATAAACAAGCTACTTTAATTATTCAATCTAATCAAAATTTACTAAAATAATCGTTTGTCTATTATGATAGCATAAGAATGTACAATGGTACATGCAACGGTAATAATATAACAGTACTAGTGTTATATAAATTGTGCACATCAATGAAAATATTTTATATTTCCAACTGCATTTAAACGTTGAGTTTTTATTGTTAATTTCTTCTTTAGTTAGTAGAAAGAAAATGTTAAAGTTCAAACTGTACGTTTTTTTTCCCCTAAACACTTGTTATGGTTGGTTTGTCTGAGTTAAAACAATTAAATCAAATGAAACTTTAGTGAATAAAGCAAAAGTACAAACTTAAAAAATGGATTATATGCTGTGTAACTCTAACAAGTTCTAAATAAGTTAAGTCGGGTCCTCTGGACATTCAAAAAAAAAAAAAAAATCAAGTTCTGTTTTGGGAAATATTTTTCTTTTTGTTCGTTTATTAGTGTATTATACGTCCTGTGCTCTAATAGAGCATAGTTTGGTCATTATTTAAATACCACAGCGCATTTGTTTTGTTTAATGTTGTAAGTTGCTTGTCAGTGCCTCAAGACAAAACGACACAATTCAATTTAGTTTATTTAAATCGTGTCATTTTCCAACAAAATTCATCTTTGGCCTTTTTATAAAAACAAATCCACTTCTAATCCAAATGCATGCAGTCCGATTGAATCCAATTCATTCTGTTTATCTCAATTAAGTTCAACACTATCCGGTTACAATTCAATGCATTACAGTCAGTCAGCTCCAGTCCACCTCAGTCCAATTGATTCCGGTCAATCAGATTAGTCCTAAACAATTCAGTGATGTCCAATTCATTTCATTCAGTTCAATTTGTTGTGTTCGGGAGCTGAATCTCATCCTAGCTGCTTCACACTCGGCTGCGAACCGTCCCACTGGTCTTGGCCTGAAGACACCAGCAGAGCCGCATCATCTGCAAAGCAGAGACGAGACCCCGAGGTTCCCAAACCACACACTCTCCGCGTCATGACTGCGCCTCGAGATCCTGTCCACAAACAGTGGAAAAGGGACAACCCTGGCAGAATCCAACCTGCACTGAGGACGAGCTCAACTTTTTGTCTAGAAATCAGACACAGCTCCGGTTTTGGGTATACAGGGAACAGGAAACAACATGGAAATAATTCTGGCACGCCGTAGTCCTGGAGTATTCCCACAGAATGCCTCGAGGAACACGGTCATACGCCATTTCCATATCTACAAAATACATGTAGACTGGAGAGCAGGGCTTAATTTGTAAACCAATCGATGCCAGAACGTAAATGGCTGGCCGGCTGGCGATGTGGGGACAGGGGTCTGGGATCCCTCCCCCAGAAATTTTTGAATAAATTAGATGTGAATTCGGCAGCAGGTGGCGCAACTGGTAGAGCTGCTGCCTCTCAGCGAGCAGGTCCCTGGTTCAAACCCTGGTCCAGGGGCCTTCTGGGTGGAGTTTGCATGTTCTCTCCGTGCATGCGTGGGTTTTCTCCGGGTACTCCGGTTTCCTCCCACAGCCCAAAAACATGCATGTTAGGCTGATTGGTAACTCTAAATTGTCCCTAGGTGTGAGTGAGAGAGTGAATGGTTGTTTGTCTCGTTTTTCTCTATGTGGCCCTGTGATGGACTTGCGACCTGTCCAGGGTGTACCCCGCCCCTCGCACAGTGATTGCTGGACATGGGCACCAGCGACCCCCGTGACCCAAAATGGAATAAACGGGTAAAGAAAATGGATGGGTGGATAGATGTGAATTCCTGCATTTTGATGAATTTTAACAGGTTGTTAAACATCTACGTTTGCCTGCATTTGTGGCAGCACGATGGCTCAGTGGTTAGCACTGTTGCCTCACAGCAAGAAGGTCTTGGGTTCAATCCCCAGTTGGGACCTGGGATCTTTCTGGGTGGAGTTTGCATGTTCTCGTGCTTGCGTGAGATTTCTCCAGGTACTCCGGTTTCCTCCCACAGACCAAAAACATGCCTTCAGGCCCAGGCCTCCCTTGCAAAAAAGATCTGTGATCTCAATGGGATTTGCCTGGTTAAATAAAGGTTATTAATAAATAATCATAATACATTTGTAAACACTCTGCTTCTGTAAAGCATCCTACCCCCCACCTTACTTGACGGTTCTGAGTCCGACAGTGTCCCTGCTCGTTCTTGTCCGACTCCACATGCGAAACTTCCAGGCGCCTCTGTCTGTTCATGGCAGCTGCCTGTGGGCTCCTGCCCGCGTATGACGATGGAAGTCACCATATACTACTGCCTGGTTAGGTTGGCACTCAGGGGCGGAGATTTTTTTAAAGGGTAGAGGCGGAAATGCTTACTTGAAGGAGCAGCTTGCATGTGATATTAAGAAGCTCACAAGTGGCTATTGTTTAAAATGAGTGTTTATATAATTATTTTCAGTTTACATATCCAATATAAGTTTTATTTGTTCAAGGCAGTCATATTTGTTCATAACTTTATTATTAGTAAGCTTGAGAGTTACCAGATCCTAGCAAACAGTTACCAGAACGCACCCTGTCAACATAAAAGAGTTCCCGGATCCTGTTCTGGCAGGATCCAGCTCAAATTAAGCCCTGCTGGAGAGTCAAACTCTGTAAGGGTGAATATCTGGTCAACTGTTCCACCACCAGGACCAAAACCATACTGCTCCTCCTGAATCTGACGTCAGGGTCTCCCAACACCCTGGAGTAAAGTTTACCTGGGAGGCTGAGACGTGTGGCCCCACAATAGTTCAAACACTCTCCGGTCTCCTGTTCATACGCCGGTCGAAACGCAGACGTATTCTGGTAAAGACTCCCTCCGTCCGCTCATCCACACGTCCATAAACTTACTTTGTTCAGCCCATACCTTCGATCGGCTCAACATAATTTAATGAAACTTAATACACTAATGCATCATCACTAGACAAATTGTCAAGGACACATTTCATCGCACCAGCTCTGAGGTCAAGGTCACAAATGAAGTTCAAAGTTCAAACAAGGTCTTTGCTTGTCTAGGCCATTGCTATAGAGTATTGCTGTATAATGGTTTGTTGACGTGTATGACGTGCTGTACTTTGTGCTCTTGTTCAAAATGGAAACCACCACAGGCATTGTCCCAGTCCTCCATGCAACATTGAAGAAATGTGTCTACCATGACAGTTCCCACAACATCTAAAGCCTCCAGCATCTCAGGGTGAATCTCGTCCACCTCATGGCTCTATGACCATCTCTACGACCTCTGTCATAGCAATGGACTCATCTTCCCCGAACCCTCAGACTCTTCCTCCTCAAAGGTGAATCCTGTGGCCGGATTAATGTCATCTTCAAAACGCTTAAACATCCTCAGTCCAGGTCAGCAGTTCCACAAAACCAAGCACAGCCAGGGACGGGGCCTGCTTTCCTCTGCCAGAACTTCCTCGAGGTCATCCAGAAGTCCTTCTCCATGTGATTGAATACTGGTATTTTCGGATTATTAGGACATTTTCACAATGGTTAGAAGGGTTTTGTATAGCGTTGAGCATTAAATGTCTTTAAAATGTTACTGGACTTTCATGCAGGAGAATTTAAAACCAACTGGCTCAAATTGAGAAGACAAATCCTCCCTTTCATGTACAACTTTGTTGGTAGTCTCTCTTCCAACAGTCCCCCTCTACCTTCCTCTCTGCTGAATGACTGTTATCTAAGCTTGCTCTGCTCCACAGACTGCCTCTGTTCAGGCAGCCAGCTCTGAGCCGGTGTCTTCCTCCGTGTGTCACACTGCATAATATCTGGGTTAGATGGAGCTCAGCACCCAGGGGAGGCACTTTTCTCTCTCATCCCTGACACGTCTCCCTGCCAAACGGACCCAAGGAGGGAGGTGGAGGGTAGTAGAGCTCTGCAGCATCCTGGCTGGTTTCATCTTCTCCTTGTTTGAGACACGTGCACTGTTACAACTACAAATACGTGGGTGAGGGGGTACAAGCTGCACACTGAGGTCGTCTCCACAGCCTTTCAGCTTGGCACCAGCTGACACCTCGGGGGGCCAGAGGCTGAACAAAGGAGGAGGAGGAGGGGTGGCTCGCGTCACACTCTCATGCTCTTCCTCGTCACATACATCTGCTCTCCTCGTGCACCGTCTCTCTCTCTCTTGGCAGATGTGGTGGTTGGATCAGACACTGACAAATTCCTCTGCTGTCGCCTGTGGGAACCGAGCCGGAGCAGCTCAGGCACCTGTTGCTGCAGGAAGCAGAGCACGGCAAACCGAAGGAGCTACAGGCGGCGATCCCTCAGAAAGCAGCTGACCTCATTGGAGGACGCAGGACGGGTCACACCTGTGCCACCTTTTAGAGTTTATCTAAGATCCTTTAAACTCTTACCAAAAGCATGCATGTTATTGTGATTGGTGACTCTAAATTGTCTCTAGGTGTGAGTGAGAGAGTGAATGGTTGTTTGTCTCTTTTGTCTTTATGTGTCCCTGTGGACTGGAGACATGTCTCAACAGTGATTTGGATAGATGCATGGACGGATGGATGGACCTTAATATGACCCGAGGCCTGCTCTACCATCATGTGGTACCTTTGGTTGGCTTCTACAGAATTAGTTTGTTGGTTCTGTTTACCTGTTCAGTTTTATGAAGTATTTTCTTTATTTTTGTTCCTCTTGG